TGTCACCAGTGTCCATGTCTGCACATGCATCTGCTTCTGGGACATGGATGATAATTGTGTCTCTGTGGAGCTTGTGGCAGCATAGATAAGGAGTGGGTCGTGGGAGGTTGTGTTTGTGTGTATATATAGAGATAGAAGAAGAGAGGCTGGTAGTGGTCAGGCATGTATCCATCAGAATGAAGACAGGGTAAACATATGTCTATATTAGGATAGTTTTGGGAACTCCTGTCTCAATTCTTTTGAGGTTTTGCTGTCATCTTGCGCCAGGAGTCTCCTGCCTGTGAACATGCAGGTGGGTGTCCATCTAGCTTCCTATCTTCAGTCCTTCCATGTCATCTATTCTGGTCCCTGACAAGGTTTTCCACTTGGTCTCCCACATTTCTTCTCTATTACCCTGGACCTGGTTATAGTGAGGGTGGGGATTGTGAGGAAGTGCTATGTGCTTGGACCATCAGGGGTCTCCAGTGAGTTCTGCATGAGGCAGATCCCTTCTTAGGGACAAGGGAATTAGAAAGCTCTTTGGTAAGCTCTTCTCTGTGAGGAGCACTGGCTGGGGTCTGCGGCACACAGGCTGTGGGTAGGTTAGGTCTTCATGTGCTTTTGTCATTTTGCGTGTGGCATGGAGTAGGGGTAGCGTGGCTGTTGCATGAAAGAGCATCCACCTTGCCTTCCCTCTTAGAGTATATGGTTTATAATTTCCAGTGTGAGAATGACTGCAATGGCTAACCAAGACAAAATTAAACAATAATGAAGAGATAACCAAGATACTTTGTTACTGTTGTTTTTTTTTGTCATGTGTTGACATGTGATGGCAAATGTGTGTGGCAGACTAGATGGAAAAACGTGAACTTTAGATTCAGTGTGTCCAAATCTTGGGACTGTTTTCTGTGTTACGTGTTCACAGAATCATAGAATGGTCTGGGTTGGAAGGGACCTTAAAGAGTTCTAACCCACCTGACATGGGCAGCGACACCTTCCACTGAACCAAGTTTCTCAGAGCCCCATCCAGCCTGGCCTTGATCACTTCCAGGAATGGGGCGTCCACCAGTTCTCTGGGCAACCTGTTTCAGTGCTTGACCACCCTTATAGTGAAGAATTTCTTCTTTATATCTAATCATAGATAGATGACTTTTTTTATGGTGATCTCTGATAGGAGTTTTTTCCCCCCTCCCAGGAATGTACAAGCTTAAAGTACATGCTTCTCAGCACAAGACGTTTTATATAAATAATTCACCTTTAAGAGCTCTAAGTAACGTTAGGCAAAAGTTTAATTGCTCTGCTAGGACACAGTGAAAGTTTGAAATCTACCTTGCAAGAGCTTTGTCTTGAAATATGTCAAAGCCAGGTTTTGATAAGGGTGTTATTACCTTTTATCTAGAGATCAAATTCATGCATTAAATTACTTTTCAGCCTAAATCCCTCTAGTAAAAACCAGAAAAGAGTTGTGTGATTTAAACAGATATAAACTCTCAGGAAAAAAATAGTTTCATTTTCTATAATAGGCAGAGTCTGCGGAAGGCTTGGTACTTCGAGGAGCTATAAGGCTGATCTAACAGGTCAGTAGCTCTTCATTTGAGGCCTTCTCTGAGATTGTTATCATGAGTTGTCAGGAACATCTGCGGACCATTTTACTTGGTCCCTGTGTTGGGAGGTTTCTGTGCAACAGTCTGTTAGAGATAAATGATATCTATTAAAAATGCACAAATTGTGTAAACTCTGAATTTAACATTGGGAAATCTCAGTTTATGGATGCTAGTTAGGATGAATTCAAAGTTGTGTAGTCTACCTTTCTTTTCATCTGCTCAGGCTTTATAGGTACAGATATATAGATACAGAATTTTTTTCTCCAAGTTCTGTGTGGGTTTTTTTTTCTGTCCTGCTGCTGTTGATGGTTGTGAACATTGCCAGTGGAAGCTGTCCACATCTTTTGATGATCTCCTATCAGCTAGAATAGACTTGAAAGTATTATATTTTTCTTAAGATTTCTACTTGACATCTCAACATTTTTGTAAATCCTTCAGCCAACTCATGGACTCAAACACATGCTCGTGGGGTTTTGTGTGTATAATTAACAGCTCTCAAGTATGCTGTAGAGGTGGATGCATACAGAGAAGTAAATTAGTAGGTGTCAGGACAATGAAATACTTTTTTAGTATGTTTTGTACCCTGTAGGACAGCTCTAAAAAATTAAGTGTACCAAGTGCTAGAGGTTGGTGAGTCTGGTGAGCTTCAGGGCATAGGTGGACTCTGCTTGTCCCGATTGGGTAGATCTAAGATTGCTGCAGTTCTGGGTCCCCAAGTCCAGCCTGGAGTGAGGATGAGTGTGTATTCCCAGTAGGTGCACATGTGTGCATACACGTGTGTCCAGCCACAGAGGAACACAGAGAGAGAGGGAGCGCAGTGCCTTTTATCGGCACCCACACAGACACACACACACTGCTTGTACGCACATGAACGGCATGGACAGCAGGTACTGTTCCTCTCCTACTGAACAGGATTGATGTCCGCTAGTGAAATATGCACCCGCACATGGAAAACGGGTCTCTCCAGTAGCTGGCATTAGCTACGCAGTCTGTCCCAGAGCCGCCTTAGGCCCGGTTTCCCCTGGTGCTGGCACCGGCACCCTCCGTCTTCTGAGGTTCGTGGCCCCACTCCAGTTGCCAGCACTTGGCTCGTGTGCTGCTGCCCACTGGTCCGGCTTGAAGGTGCCTGGTGGTCCCTTGGGCGGGCTCAGAATAGAGGGTGTGTCCACACAGAAGGTGGATGGAAAGAATATAGGAGTAATTATTATTAGTAGTAAACAATTAATTGCATCACTACATACAAATATTTAGTAAGACTGCAGGGCTGGCTGTGGTGACCAGGTGCAGGGCTCGGTTGGACAAGCATAGTGACCAGCCAACTGTTACCCAGACCAGCCCCTTTTATCCCCTTTTCCCTCTATTTTCTCACACTGCTTCCTCCCTAGTCCACCTTGATCCCTCCCTTCCCCTAAACATCCCACAACAAGGCTTGCATGTTCCCACAACCCCCTTGAAACACCTCATAAGAAGTTGTACAACGTCCCCAAACGCTTTTCTCTTGCAGCCCCCTGTGAGTCCCACGTCCCTGCAGGCGCTGACCCCCGCCAGCCTGCAGGGCCTTCTGGGGAGGGGGTGGCCCCACTAATGCCTCGGTGGGGTTCACCCAGTAACCATGAGCTGAGTGCTCTCCTCCGACGGTCCTTGGGAGCCCCTGAGTCAGGGTGCTTTAAGTCAATGTGCAGTGATGACCTTATTTATATATGACACTCCTTCCCCGGTCTTGTTCCATTGATTCTCGTGAGGTCTTTGAGTTCATGGTCATTCATCTTTAATCACATAACCTAACGCTAAGTACATGCAAAAAAATCTTGATGCTAGCACTGTAGAGTCAAAATGTAAAAGTGGAGTTGGGGAGAAACGTGTCTGTTGTCTGGAGCTATTTCCTGAAGCGTTTGTTTACCAGGTCTTTACCCTGCAGAACGTTTACCTGCTTGTGTGATGCCTGATCTCGTACAGCCGCTGGAACACCCATCATCCTCGTTGCTTCAAGGGATCTGAAAATTCCCTTGTCCCAGATTTCCTAGTGGGAAAGGACAGCTTAGCTCTAGTAAGGTTGTAGGCTGTAGGGAGCTTGCCAGCCGTGTTTGTGTGTGTGTCTCGCAGATGAAGGAATCTGCCTTTATGGATAGGAGCCGTAAGGGTTAAGTTGCTACAAGCGCAGGTGAGCTTCTCTTTTTCAGGAAGATAAGGACTGTGTACTTTGGAGCATAGTAATGTGTTTTTTGTAAGCCAAAATGGTTAAAAAAGAAGGGAGGTAGGAGCTCCCAAGTTCCATTTTGTGGGATATGACTATCGTTACACCATTTGCAGTAGCCTCCAAAACCAAACTGCTCCTCTGTGGATATTCCGAGGAAAGTGAATTTATGCTTAGCGTGCATGAATCATAAACTCAGTGCTTGTTGCAACCACACAGAAATATGAAATAATTGTCTAGTTATGTGTTTTTCCATAAATATTTTATTATAATCTCTATTGGCAGTTAGTCTGACCGGGACAGTTTTGGAGAAAAAGGCTACAGAAGTTTCAATTTTAGAGATACTGTATATGAAATGCTTAGCATGAGTTTTAATCGCAAGTTATGTCTAGGGCTTGTGGCACACTGCATTGTAGAAATTTTAAACCTTGCTTGCATACCACAGTATCTTTAAAATGTGATTTAAACCCGCCCCCCCCGAAAAATACTGCATCCAACTTTGGATGTCCCAATAAGAAAAAGATGCCAATAAAGTAGATCCAGTTCAGTGGAGGGCCATTGCAATGGTGGGGGCTGGAGCACTTGCCCTGTGAGGAGAGACTGGGGGAGCTGGGGTTGTCCAGCCTGGAGCAGGGATGACTTTGGGGTTGGGACAGAGACCTTACATAAGCTCCCAATGCCTGTGGGAAGACCATCGAGGAGATGGAGCAGGGCAGAAGGGTGAGAAACAACAGGCATAAGCTGAAAGAAGGGAGGGAGGCTCAGCCTGGAACGCTTTTTCTCCATGAGGACAGTCAGGCAGAAGCACAGATTGCCCAGAGGGGCTGTCCAGTCTCCATTCTTGAATGGTTTCAAGACTGGACTGGATGAAGCCCTGAGCAGCCTGATCTGACCTCAGATCTGACCCGCTGTGAGTGGGAGGTTGAACTGTGGCCTCTTAAGGTCCCTTTCAGCCTGAATTGTTGTGTGATTTCATGACGGTCTGAGCTTTGAATTGTGCTATTAGCCTGCATAATTGAAGTACATCTTATTACTTACTAAACCATTTATGCTAGAAGAGCAGTTTGGCTAAGGTCAAGCTAGTATAGATTGCCTGACCAGGTAACTTGGATCAGGTTGTACTGAACTACTACATATTTATGTTAACAGCAACTTAAAGAATGCTATTTAATTTCCCTATTATACTTAGATTGTAAGCACTGATTAAACTTACTTTGTTTCAGATAAATGCAAGTGAAATTCAAAGATTTTCAGATTTTCCATTGTCAAAGAAAACCCTAAAGGGTAAGTACAAAAGTTTTCTTCGGAAAATATTTTAAGTAAAAAAGGAATGTATTATTTATCTGCATCTGAAAAATCTTTTGCTTTAAACTAAGTTTTAGATAAGTATGTTCAGTGTTTGCTAAATGGGCAAATACAGCTCTGGGCAAGACAAAAATCAAGAATTTTCCCCCCCCCCCCCCCCCCCCCCCCCCTCTTTTTCTCCCAC